GATTATGATTTCTTATTTGGTGAGCATGGGGATCGTCCATGTCACGTGTGATTATGTATTGTCTGTTCAGACTTGAGTTGTATAAACTATCAGGTTATTGTCCGGATTACGGGTTGTAGTTCTGTGACTTTAGATACTCACTGTTATTTATATATCGAGGTATTTCAATTAGCTGTTTTTTGTAATTTACATACAGGCAATATTTTATGAAATGAATTAGGTAATTCAACTTGGTAATGATAATGACGTCATAATTGAAAGTAAGAAGTTATTCCGCATTTTTAAATTAAGCGTGACTTAATACGATGACATGTTAACAAACCGGGCATACACGGGGTGTTACAGCCAGTGCGGCTAAGGGTAAAAAATAACCCTACTAAATGTGGGCTGAAAAAAAATGGGGCTGTAAAATGGGGGTGAAGGGCTAGCCCTTGGGCTCTGGCCCATTTTGACAGGTCTAACTATGCAGCAATGGGATTGAGAATCTGAGATGGTGACTGAAAAGGAACTGCTCTTTGCTCTTCCTGTCAGATGCTTGTGATTTGGATCCATAATCAACTTAAACAAAATTCAACCAAGGAAATAGTATTCAACTATGTAAATCAGGTAAACCTTCTCCCTCTTGTCCATAAACCTAAGATGTTGTTTAGATTATATCATTAGATGGTGTATTAATTTTTTCTCATTTGATCATTGGCAGCTGTGTGCGAGCTTGCCAAGTCCAAATGGAGAGTCGGTAGTAAATTGTAATATCATATCTAAATTGCCAAACATTAACTATGCGTACACTTGCATAGTACAAAACAACCATGCATAATATTAATTGTATCTCATAAGCTTTATCCTTCTTTAAATATTTTGATATTGCTGTCACTATTTGCCTGCAAGATTCTTGGCGATATTTTCATGAGGGCATGTCACACCAACTTTGATTATGGGAGTCTACAAATTGGTTTTGCTGAAGCTGCCTAATGAGACTTCTGAGTGATTATGTAGGGAATATTTTAATGAGCTTGTTAGTGTGTTGTAAATAAGATCTCTTGTAACTACTATGGCGCTGGTTTACTTTATGGATTCATATATGTACTCTCATACGTGAAATTATCCGTGTTGAAGTATTGTATACCCTTATGTGCTATATTAATACGGATGGCAATGAATGACTTTAAAATTGCTGATCTATTTAGATTCTTTAGCCATATTATGATTTGGCTACGCATATGGTTATTGACGTTGTGTGCTAAAGCAACCACAGAGAGTAAAAGAGCAAAATATGTTAGGGAATTCGTTCCCTCAAACTCCAATGTCAAGCGGGTCCAGAGGAAGCCCGTGGCGGGGAACCACCACCAATGAGTTAAGGCTACACCAATCGTTGCAAGTGGATCCGACACCATGTCTCAACCCAAAACCTTAAGGCATTGGGTTCATGGGTCCTTTCACTTATATACTCTTCACTTAGCTCATTACCAACCAATGTGGGACTCATCACACTTGAATATCTCAACAATCTCCCCCTCAAGTGTGAAACCCACCATTGGTATGCTCCCCCTCAACCGAGTACCCGAAGAGCAGAGTACTCGACCCGCCTCCTAGCCAATCAATAGGCTAGCTCGAGCCCAATCCTGCTCTGATACCACTGTTGGGAAATTCGTTCCCTCAAACTCCAATGTCAAGCGGGTCCAGAGGAAGCTCGTGGCGGGGAACCACCACCAATGAGTTAAGGCTACACCAACCGTAGCAAGTGGATTCGACACCATGTCTCAACCCAAAACCTTAAGGCATTGGGTTCATGATTCCGTTAAGACTCATCAAACAACTTTAGTGCAGCACATGGCCGTTACATCAAACTTAAAAGACCATTGAATTTTCTAACGGACAAAAAACAAAGAGACTCTAACATTCCCTCCCTTAAACTGATGTTCTTGAAAAATTCAGTTTACTCCAAATCCTTTGACTTTCTCCATGGAACATATGCCAAGTAATCCCCTGAGCTTTTCAAAAGGGTATAGCATTTGATAACTTAGAATTTCACTGGTAGCATTGTAATTTTTTTAAGGTTTATGTTCATCAATTCAAAATCCAGTTACGAACTCAGAAATCGAAACCAGTTATTAATCGGATCCAAACCAAACCAGTTTCGCACTAGTTTTTTTAAAAAATCGGTTCGACCCGAACTGAATCGTTTTGAACCGACCCGAACCGTTACAAACAGAATCAACCTGTTAAAAACTGAATCGATTATGACCCAAACGAAACCGATTCAATTAAAATAAAAATGGTCAATTCTTTGAACTGGTTCTGTAAAAAAAAAAAATCAGTTCAGTTCAGTGGCGAACCTATAGATTTTTTTTATGTGTGCATATTTAGTGGAGAGGATTTGGGGGCTCTGCCCCAGGAAAAAAATTAAACAAAGTTTTAAATACATTAAAAAATAAAAGAATATAAACAAAAAGGGGTTTATATATCTCTCACTACTAGAAAAATCGTGTATAGCGAGGGAATTGCTATGAAAATTTCCTCGCTAATTTCATCCTCGCTACTTTTGTCTTGTTAAGAAAAAGACAAGATCAATTCATTGAATAATGTGACATCTCACTTTCTTTAATATTATATAACTTGTCTTTTTCTTAACATGAAAAATTTGGTTCATATAATATTAAAGATATAATCCTCAAACAACAAAAGAAAAGAAAACTTTGACTTAACATAAAAAAATAGTAATCAGCTTAATAATATAAAACTATTAAAACATAAGCAGTAAATAAGATGTATTTCTTTCTTAGTACCTGTGCTTGTATTCCTGGCAATGCAGCCAGTAAAATTGCTCCTAGAGTGACATTCTTAATTAATTAAAAAATATTTATCTTCTTTACTAAAAATGTGTATGAATAAATTTATGTGTGAACTTGCACACATTGGAAACCAATTAGGTTTGCCAATGGTTCGGTTGAACCCGTGTTCATCCCTATGCATTATTGAGCTTATGAGAGAAAACACTATCATATCGTTACAACTTTATCTCAATCCTAAACGTGTATTCTACTAGGGAAATGACCTTACTTTGTTGCATTGAATCTTGGATATTTCTTTATTCTTCACATGGAGTTGATGCTTTGTACATGCTTGCTTTTTGGACTCTCATCTTTTGAGTTTTGCCTCATCAAAACTTGATGGTTAATAGTGTTTGGATAATATCAATGTACTCATATGTTTCTGTCAACCAAGTCCATAATCTCCACTACGGTATCATTTTAGCAAAGTAATAATTCTCTTATTTGGTAATTTTTTAAAGGGTAATATTTCTCTAAAATTACATAAAAGATAAACATTTTCTTACACTCACATCGGTAATTGACTCGCTACTTTTTATTATCTCTCTCCTGATGGGCCCCACAATTGGTTGAGTATATTGGAAAAAGTTTCTATGTTATATAACTTTAGAGAAATACAATCATTTCTTAAAAGGACTTTATTTTATGAACCATTATGACTTCTATGACTAAAAACAAAATCTAAACAGATGTTTTGTGCTGTAGATAGAAATGTCTAGCCCAATAGACTAGTAAATTTTTTTTGGATCTAGATGCTCTCTCTAAGGTACCCTTGAGTGTAGTAGATTACTGTGCACAAAGGAATAAAAGACAACTTTCGTCAATGGAGTGGTGTGTGTGAACAGTGACATCATAACAGTAATAGAGAGAGAACAATCCATACTTGTAGACTTTACCTCTTATTTATGGAATTTACCTATGGGCATTAGGATTTTGGACATTTTGTGCTTCTTCTAGTAGCCAAAGCCCATGTTTAATGTTGTCGTATTAGGATTGATATCTTTGATGAATATTTTTCTTTAATTATATCAGATTTATATTTGGATTGTCCCTTGTTAGGCCTGATAATAAATAGGCCTCATATATGAGTCCATAACACATGAATTTTATAATATTTTTTAGTTTCTTATTTTTGTTGTTAATCATTATATACAAAGGCAAGAATAACCAATATATATTTCCTATGTGTCCACTTGAATAAACTAACCTGTGTGTAAGGTGAATTGTTAATCTATCTTTATATGCAAGAATCTTCTAGACAACTTGTCCTATAAATTACTTTAACAAATTTGTAATTTTATTAAGAAAAAGTGTTTTTTATAATAAATAAAAAAGGAAAGTTAATATCTCTGGGGAGGAGTATTTTTAAGATATATACCAGTCTTTTGGATCCTCATTTTATTTACTAGTTTTACCCTAACGGCAAATCATTTCATCTCCCCACTTCAAAATCCTAGAAACATTATCAAAATTTTATATAATTATCAAATAACATTTAACTTTATTTTTAAATTTTTTTTTTTCTTTAAAATATATATGCCAAAATATCAAGCCAGCCTACTCTCGCGGGAGTCTTCCTCTTAAAACACAAGACTTTCAATACTACTTTGACATTTAAAGCTATAGAATATTTAAACACCTTTGGCCGTTGGAATTTTACCTGGTGAAATCAAATATGATGACAAGAACAAAATGAAATATTTTCTCAATTCTCTTATTCCTTTATATGCTGATATGCTCTGGAGCTAGCTTGTCAAGAGAAAGGTAAAAGAAAAGATGAAGATGATTGCAAAATTTGCAATTAAATATGGGAGAAAAGAGCAAGAAATTGAACTCCAAATGATTGAAAAGCAATTTATTTTTCACAGCCACACACGCGTGTGTATATATATACTCCGAGTTTACATACTGACAGTAGGAAAAAAAATTCTTAAATGTAATGTAATCACAATGATAGGAGGAAACATCATAAGGACTAAGGAGAAAACAAAAAAGAGATAACAATACTTTGAACATAGCACTACCACGTCGAAATGGAGCAGTCCAAGATGTAAGATCACGAGAACAGTAGTACACTACAAGTAATCATGTCCGAGAAAAGACTTAACTTAAATGGTAAAAAGTGATAACAGAGTGATACTCGACAATGAAATTTCCCGTTAGATGTCATCAAGATAATGAGCGGCCTCTTAGAAAACGCCAAGGTCCTGTTCCTGTTCCCATCCTGCATATGCATTTAACATTCTTGTAACCCAACTTTGAAAAATAGAACTATAAAATCTTTGATGCAAAAGGACCATAGATAATTTTAAAAATATTTTTGGAAGAAACTTTTTCCAAATTCAGTTTATAAATACATATAGCAGAGGTGATTGAGATCTTCTGGTCTTTATTGTAATTAATTATCTAATATTGTAGATCCTATATATTATGCTACTTATCAATGTGTCAAGCCCTTTATAGTGAGTGTCTGTGCATTTTCTCTATACCCTACGTAGGAATCTTTCAAGCTTTTAGTTCTTGATTTCATGGCCTTTTGATCGTAGTAACATAAAATGGGAAACATTTTACCGGAATGATTCTAAATTCAAATATTTTATCAAAATAATGCCGAGAAAAAATATGTATGAAGTGTTTACGTTCAAGTCGCGTACGAGAAAAGTGTGCGACTTGTGCATAGATGAAGACATACCTATCACGTTTCGAGCATCATGAATAAATCACACACCTTCTTATGTAGGACTTGAATGCACACACCCATGCACCTTCAACAGCATGAATAAATCTTTGGTGCTACTGTTGCACCAAGATTCAGTGCATCCCACCAATGGATGCATTATACATCATAGGAGAGAGAAAAAATTTGGCAGAGAAAAACAATTTTGAGTAATATTTTTATTGGTGGATGTACTGAATCTTTAGTGCAACAGTAGCACCAAAGATTTATTCCAACAGCATTATTTTGATAAAATGCTATAAATAGTTTGTCTTTTACATTAAAATCGTCAAAAGACCTGTAGTTTCTTGTGCGGGAGACACTTAAGTTTGACCCATAAACCATAATATGGTACAATGCTCGAAACCGGTGTGAATATTAATTTCTTGCTTTTAACATTAGGAAAGTTTACCTCCATACACCAGCAAACATGCGAAGACTCATATAGATGGTTAGTGCAATCCAGATCCCAATAAAACCTTTGCTCTTGTAGAGAAGGAATAATGAAGTAACACTTGCTAATGACACCATGACCTGAATAAAAATAATTGCTAAGTAATCTTGGATAGAGAAGACACATTGTGAAAAAGGAAAAAGGGCATGCGAACTTACCAAGGAGTAAGCAGAATAAGCAAAATCAGATGCCCCATAGTTCACACCATCAAAGACGAAGGCTAATGAATTGATTGGTTGTGTAGCAGCTACAAACTGGTGGTTTAAATAAAATTAGATAAAAAATCACATAGAAAACATTATTGAATTCATAGTTGTAGAAGGAATATACCGGGATGCTAATTCTGATTAAGTGTACAACAAGAACATTTTTGGAGAAGATTCCAGCTCCGAAGTACAATCCAACTCCAACTACAACAGAGAGTCCCACTCCTAAAACAAAACTCATCTGCAGCGTCCGTGTTGCAGTAGCAGTCACCTTGTCATAGTCTTTCTCAGCAAAGGAACAGGCTAAAATTGCCTGTGATCCACTGGAACTAATCAGTAATACTCTTTTCATTTTTATTTTGCATTTTTATTTTGGTTTTACAACAAAGAAAAGTTTGAGAAAGTAGTTAGAAATAGTATTTTCAGTTCAGTAGCCAGAAACTCAAATTGGCACAAGTAATTTTTTTTTTCCATAAGACTGTTGTTTATTCAATACACAAATAGTAGAATGTAAAATGCACATTCTTTATTGAAGACACTATTTATTAGATACACACGAAATAAAAATAAATTGTATTGTCAAATACATTTTTTTTTTAAGAAACTCTTCCTAAGCACGTAATGAAAAAATTATTATTTATTTCAAAAAACAGTGCTAGATAACAAAAATGGTTGGTATGCACAACCTACCCTATATAGTATATGGTACATCCAGTAATAAGAAGAAAAAAAAATGTTACCTGTACAGCAACAGCCAAACCATCAGCAAGAAGGGACGAAGTCAACCAGACTTGTAAGCAGGTTTGGAATGCTGCCATAGGAATTGAGCCCAACCTTGCTGCCAATGAGGCTGCTAAGGTCACACAGAATGTCACTGCTACTACTCTGGCTAACAGCAAACCTCCTATGAAATCAAAAACCAATTCCAACAACATAAGTAACTTCTAGATTGATTGGTCATCAACATATGTTTGATTAATACACTGTTGTTTGAGTCCAGTCTAGCTGACCTTTTTTAATTTCTCTTATCTTTTTTCTTTTTTTAGTAGAGGAGAGTGAGATTTTAATGATATTATAGAGTCCAAAACCAATATGCTAGGTTTAACGTATTCCACCATACCATTTTTAAGAAACCTGAAAATTTGCAAATCCTTAATGCTTGGAGGTAGGAGATCCACTTTTCTCATTAATATCAAGAAGAGGGCCAATGCCATTATGTACCTAAAAGTATCACCATTTTCTAAGTTAAAAAGTTTTCCCAACAAAAATGTTTGAACTTTGAACATTGTTGGAACAAAACAAATAAAGACTTACTGAGAGAGCACATGTGAAATGGCTGCACCTCTGATGCCCAATTTGAAGTAAAAGATAAGTATTGGGTCCAAAGCGACATTCAAACCATACCCGGAAACTAAATAAAACCATATACACAAATGGACCAAGTTAGTTGACATGTTTAAAAACAGAAGATCTCCCATTTACTTTTTTTATTTGAGGAAAATACAGTTGAAACCAATTAACATTTGTATGCACAGTTCCTTTAAATTTGACTTCAATCTTAAATTAGTCCCTTTTCATGCTCTCATATTGTCCCAATAATTAGGCTTCATTGAAGACAAACCTACCAATGACATATAAAGGAGTTGTTGTGTCCTTGAACCCTCGAAAGATTCCTTGCATGGCCAATGAGAGAAGTACAGCTGGAGCACCTAAGGATCTCAATCTCAAGTACTTTACTGCTGGGATTAGCATGGGAGAACCCTATACAAAGGAGAAATAGCTCAACTTAGTAAAAGCTTAGATATATGTGTTACATAACAGTTAAGGGAGATTACTATCCATACATTAATGGGCATAAGCAATAAATGAATCCCATATCACATCTCAATTCAAAACCTTAAAGGTATTAGTTTTTATCACTCGTACTTGAATTTCCAACGTAAAATATGAAAAATTTACTCTTGATAATAAAGATACCTACCGGTTTCAGACCCATCGCACCTAATAGAGGTTTGGCTGCAAGTATAAGTGTTGCAGCTTGAAGGAGGCCAAGGATTGTGCCAAAAAGTAGTGCTGTTGATGCTGAAGCAATGTGTCGCTTCTTTCTTCTAGTTTTTGACACGCTCTTATTGCAACTACTAGTATCAGTGGAAGTGTTGCATATATTTGTATTGGCATCTAATAAGGAATTCAGTTATCAATGAATTAAAATGTCAGAACACAACCAAACTTCCAATGCATTCATTTCCCTCCACTCATGCAAATGACATTATATCAAAGGTTGATCCAATGCGTTTGAAGCAAATTCATACCAACATGGACATGCATACCCAGACAGAGAAAGGCAAAGTCAGAAAGGAACAGAGAGAAATTACCATCTCCATTATTTGTCTCACTTTTCAAAGTACCATCATTTGTGTCATTCTCAGTTACTAAAACTTTTGCCATGAGCTCGTTTGTGTCACCATTTTCGGCCAAAGATTTTGTTGTGGTCTCATTATTCTCTTTGGATGCACCTTTTTCTATGTCTTGAAGGGCATGATCATCGGGCATTACTTCGTTGGACATGACCTTAATGTTTTCAGTGAACTGCTTTTCCACTGCTGTGGTATTGATTTTTTCAATAGTGTTTTCCTCAGCCACAAAGGAAGTTGTAATACTGACGAGAGGGAAGATGGTGATCCTTGAAGCTTGGTTGAACAAAGCAATGGAAACTCCTACAGCAGCAAGTTCCACCGGCCCTATACACATGAAAAATGCAAAGTTAGCTTAAAAAACTCGAGAACTAAATTGATTCTTGTTAGAACTCCTTTTAAGTCTTGCAATTAGTATCACTCAATGTGCAGAAAAAATTGTCAGCCAAAGCAAAAAACTTTGCTTAAAACGGCAAACCCGGGTGCATAAGGTTCCCAGAGGTAGGGGTGAAGGTCAACTGAACGCAACCTTATTCTTGCATTTTTGCAAAGAGGTTGTGTTCCATACTCAAACTAGTGATCTTGTGATCACGAGGAACAATCTTACCACTACTCTAAGGGTCACCCTCAAGCAGAAAACCATGACCATTGCAAATTATATGTGCGTGTCTCTTTTGTGCAAGCATGATGTAGTGACAAGGAAAAGTACCCAAATGGCCTATGAATGCTGTGTCTATAAGAGAAGCAATGGGATCAGCAGCAACAGCCAGTGCAGATGGGAATGCAATCCCTAGTATCTCCTTACCAAGAGAATCCATCTTGAAAACAAGCCTACATTCACATTAATAAGAACCAAGTATTAGTATATGGTAAAATTACATGAATGACATCTCCCTAGCATTGTATAGTTAAATGTAACAACCACTATTCATTAAACCACCTCCACTAGCAAAAATGGGGCGAGGGCAATTTTTATATACAACTTTGTCCTTACATATTTATATATTTGAACAAGTGACCTTTTAATCACAATGGAGTAGCTTTATCACTACTCCACGCTCGCCCACACAAGTAAGGGTAGGGTGACTGAAATGCATATCATGTCACAAAAGGACAGAGACTGAAGTAAGAAAAAAAGGAAAAAAAAAATAACAGTAAACTAAGACACCAGAAGATCTATTATGATATCCTATATCATGTCATTATTTTTAGTCAGAATGACGCTGCTACTCCAAGAAACAGGGATAATAAGTTGATAACATATAGGTACCTTGCATCTTTGAAGAAAACTGAGAGAGGCAGTTTCCAGATGTCCTTGGGTACATTATTTGAGTTACCATTCTCCTCCATTGTATCCTTAATCTTAGATAAGAACTGAATCAAGAAGAGGATGATGCAAGGTAAAGTCCCTTCAGGACGAGCCAAGTCTCAATAATCTGTCAAGTTTTTTGAGTTTGAGGTCGTTCAGTGTTTTTTAACATCAAAATAAAGAAGAAACATGTATGATATTGACCACTGTCCAGGAAACACAAGCTTGGCTCTAACAGCACAACTCAACTAGATAATGTGCTACCTTTCTAGCATTGAAAGATGACATGGGCGAATGATGTATTTATAGTAGTCGTTGCAGATATCGAAGTGCCAAGTGTTGCAGATATAAGTGTGTAGTGAGTGATAAAGGAACAGACAAGAGTAGCATAAATATTGTCTTTGTCATGCTTGTAGTTGAACCTTCCTCACATATGTTTCGATGACATTTTCTTATAAAGTAACACTGCCTAACTACTTTTGAACAAATTATCAGATGCAAAATGTTACAAGATGGGTAGACAGAACTTTGTAGAACGTGACAAAAAGTAATGCAAGAACCTTCCCCTGTTCCATATACCCCTGATAGCAACGCAGCAGAATCTATACTCAAGTATAAACAGAATAAGAATGTGTATTATTTTAAATTACAGTGACCATTCATCAAATATATGCATTAGTTAAAAAAGATAAAAGGAACGCCATCCCATTTTCAACAAAAGAATTAAATTATACTATGTTTTGCGTAAAAAATGTATGATATATTCAAAATGACAGGCTATCTGCGTATCTTTATTTCTTCGACTACGTATATATTTGAAACGGAGCTACTTATCTAGTTATGCACAATTGTGAGTCTTAATAGTTTTGTTATTAACATCACACTAAAAGAATTGGAAAATAATATACTTAGGTTTACTACCTGTTTGATTATCGTATCAATTTGAAATCAAGAATTGAAAAAGAGAAAAAATAAAAATAAGTGCTGTTGGATTTAAATTGATCCAACCATAACCAACACATTATAAGAGTGGTAAGTTTATAAAAAAAAAACCCATTGATTTGGCCCAAGCTTAATAAGTTAAATTTTTGAGTTGAATTGGTCCTTTCTTATACTATTAGAGACAATAGTTCAATCCTCACCACCACACTTTTTAATATAATTAAGTCAAACACAAGATAGAATAAAAAAATGAGTCCCAATTTCCACGCTTCAAATTGCGTGAGAATAAGCTCTTAAATGAGATGGTTGCTTATCAAAACACTACAAAGTTACCGAAAAGTAAGCACATATTACTGAACAAATCACACTCACAAAACAGGGAGAATATTTTGAATAAACAATTAAGAGAAATACCAGTTAGTTACATATTTTTTTTAGGATTTTATTTTTCTCATGTTACTGAAAAAAATTATCTCGTGCAAAAAAAAAATAACTATGTACTACGAGTAGTACATAGTTATAATAGTAAAATTATTCTCTCTCCACCACGTCAGCCGACAACGTCTGTGTACAGAGAAAATTAAGTAGCTTAAATATTATGACTAATGAATATGTATTACCCGTACTACATAATAATTTTGTTTTTGCATGAGATTATTTCTTTCCAGCAGGATTTCGGTATTTTTTATTATTAGGTGAATTTCATATAATTTTGATATAAAAAATGGGTTCGGATCATTTGATAAAACCTAAATTGAATTCATTCAATAATAATTTTTATTATTGTTAGCATTACTAATTAATTAATTTTCTTCTAATCACAAAGAGGCATCTTTCGTGCTCCTACTCAACAAGAGCAAAAGTTTGAATCCGTAACTGATGTGAGAAATTTATTCGTGGTGTGATTTATAATTCATTCCAGAAATTTTAAAAAATATTAAAAATGGGCCCAAACAATTATGAAATGTCAGCATGTAACCTCACCTCAACTTTGTAAAAATAAATTAAAAGGACAACTTTAGTATTATCTACATAAAGAATTGTCAAATCGAACAACAAACTAGGGTTAGTCTAGTGATGTGAGTTGTGTGTTAGGTGTGTATAGTGTTCAATTTCCATTGTAATAAAAAAAAATCAAACAAACCTCCTTGTGGTTTAATTTATATACCACATTAATTATAACCAATCCAGATTCCAGACAAGTAAAAACAACAAGAGATCGAGAGAAGACCGACCTTAACAATCTTGTACGATGATCTTTTTTTAGCTTTTTATCTTTTATTTGTTCAAGCAACAAAGCTATTTTTTAAGCTCCTTTTTGAACTCAATAAAGCGGGTTCCAATGTCTTCGAACTTCAAAAAAGTAAAACAAAATAAAAATAGCATCGCTTTGTTATTTCACATGAATTCATCGAATTCGAATCGTTTGACAAAAATGGAGATACAATGGATCTTGTTTTTATTTGTTTCTTCCTTCATTGATGCTTCATTTAGAGAAACATTGAAAAAAATAAAAAAATTATAACCCACAACCCTTTAGTGTGTACATCCAATAGTTGGCTTTTCTCGGATTATAGCTTATGTTCACTTTCATTTTTTTCAACACTGGACTTGTCAAATCCATAACTTCCTAATAAATTTGAACTCAAGCAATAAATTAAGAGCTAAATTCCTTTACTATCTAAGTCAACATCTCTTGGTCACTTATTTGTCTATAAACTTTAACTCTATAAACTTCTATGCTACCAAACATTTTTTTTTTTTTTTTTTTTTGGAAATAAACGTTTTTTTTATTATGTGCAATTCCTAGAGACTTGTACTACATTGCTACCAATCAAGCTTTTGATAGCCTTCCTCTTCAACTTTTTAATTTACTACACCTACAATGAAGATGATTGGGTTTTGGGTGGGCAGTTGTCCCCTTTAAATATTGTTAGTTTTGAAGGAGAGTGAACAATTATTGACCTTATTGTTTTGGATCTCTAATATTTAGGGATATAAACGAGTCAAGCAGCCTATCAGGAGCCTGTATCTCTCATATCTAGGAATGTAAATGAGTCAAATAGTTTATCAGGAGCCTACAACCTGCTTATTTCAAATTAAGTCTAGCTTAATATATTTAATAAAATGGAACGAGTGAGACTCAAAATATTTTATATAGGTATTTATACCAAATCCTAATTTTGCCCAACTCATTTACACCCGTTCCTCATAAGAGTTTCATTACAGCATAAATTTTGAAACTTCAATTGAATTGAGCTTTCAACCTAAGCTCCAATTTAATTTTTCAATCCAAAATGAAATCGTTTTGCAAGCAAATATAGTTAACTTATCTACATTTACTGTAGAAACATTAAATCCAAATATTAAATATAAGGTACAATAATGATTTTAAATTTCATATAGTTCAACTTTAAACGTATTCAAATTTTAGAAAAAAATTACAATTAAATTATCTAACCAATAGTAGTGGGTTTAGTGATGTTTTAGTTAGATTTTAGAATTTGACATGTACAAAGAATATTATATATATTTCATTTGTAATTCTTGAAGAGAGTGAATAGATTCAAACTCGAAATCGGATTAATCAGACCTGTTAACACTTTGACATGTGTTGGTTTTTGTACCATTGGGATCTATAAGCCCATTATGTTCCCTTTGGGGATGGAGTCACTGTATGGATGATACCTATAGCACAGGTAGAGACCAAGCTAAGAGGCACTATTCCAAGTATGGAGTAAGCAGTTAACAATGGGTTTAGGTATGTGTATATGTGACTCAATGTAAATGGGCAGAATAATGATACATATGATACCTTCTTTGTGTGTCATGAGGGCTATTTATAGGGGAAGGTGATGTTGATCTTTTGTGGGTTGGTGAGGAGGGGGTCAACCCTCCTTGGATATGCTAAGGGAGGCAGACGCTGCTGGGCGTGGCAGGCGCTGCTATGATAGCAGTGATGCACCCCCTGTGCCTGGCAATGTCAGCATGTGACAAAGGGAAGTTTCCTCTTATGGTACTTGGGATGGTCACTTTGGGGGCTAGAATTCCAAGATGGGACATTTTGGTGTCTCTCCTAGGGAGTGTCGTCGCGTTGGGGCTTGGGGGGCTGAGAGTTGGTAGGGCTGACGTGGATAAGGAGATTGGGCTTGGACCTTTGGGCCGCTATGTTGTTGGGCCATCCGGAACAGGAGCGCTCCAGCTTGGTAGCAAACGTAGATTGGTGCCAAGATAAATGGTCTTGGGCGACGCCTTCTGGCTGGCGATTTGAGTGGGTGGTATAGGCGGGGTGAAGAGCCTCTTAATGGCTTGGTGAACATTTGGAGTCTTGGCGATTTAGGTGGGTTCCGTAACGTACCATTCGTCTCTTTGGCGGGTCACGTGGCTTGTAGGGGGCTTCTTAGGTCTTTCGTCTACTCTGACAGGAAAAGTGGCTTTTCAGTTTTCAAGGAGCCGTAATGATGGGTGCCTCCATCATTGCAATTAACTGCAAGCACTCAAACGTCACAAAGCACGACGCATTAATGCGACGTGAGGGGTGTCTTGTCCCCTATAATTACCATTAGGTTCCTCATTACAACCGCTTATCGTCTGACGGTTGTGGTATACTACGGTCGAAGTTGTGGGGTACAACACGTGTACGCCATCCTTTATCCTTCTCACTCTATTTAAAGGGGGGTTTTCCCTCTATGAAAACCTTCTTCACTAATCTCTGGCTCCCTGTGTTCCTGCCTTCCTTATTTGCGCTTTCTCTCTTCGTGTGAGTGCTTGTGCCGGTCTTCTTTTCTTCCATTCTTCCTACCTCTGCGTTATGTCAGGTACAGTGTTTCTGGCTTGTAACTTCGTATTTTTGTACTCTTTTTTTGGCTTTGTTTCTCTTCTCCTCTTTCTTGTGTTGGTCAAGTTAACGGACTTGACTGGTTTGGTCTTGCCTGAGTTGGGGGTGGAGGTTAAGAAGGAGGAGTTCGATGAAGCTTTCGACACGCTCGATGGCTGTGCAGTGGGACCGGCTATGCGGGAATACCATTAGGTCACAAAAGAGTGACCTAATGTGTAACATCCCGAGCGCTGACGAGGGCGAGGAGTTATTGCTGGTGCA